ACAAGCCACAGAGCTCTGGTGGCATAGTGCCTAAGGCACTTGACTGCTAACCAGAAGGCTGGCGATTCAAACCCACCAGCCACTCCTTGGAATGAAGATTGGGCAATCTACTTCCATAGTGATACTGCCTTGGAAACCCAAGGAGGGGTCGCTAGGAGTCAAGTCCGACTCAATGGCACATAACAACAACAACAACAACAACCCAAGCCATGGTATTTTCAATCGCCTCATATGCATGTGAGAGCTGGACAATGAATAAGGAAGACTGAAGAAGAGTCGATGCTTTTGAATTATTGTGTGGGTGAAGAATACTGAAGTACTTTCAGTATGGATTGCCAGAAGAACTAATAAATCTGTCCTAGAAAAAGTGCAGCAGCATGCTCCTCGGAAGCAAGAATGACCAGACTTCATTTCACCTACTTTGGTCATGTTGTCAGAGGGACCATTCCCATTCCATGGAGAAGGATATCATGCTTGGTAAAGTGGAGGGTCAATGGAAAAGGGGAAGACCCTCCATGAGCTGGACTGACACTGTGGCTACAACAATAGGCTCAGATATAGCAAGGATTGTGAGGCTAGCCCAGGATCAGGCAGTGTTTCATTCTGTTGTACACAGGGTCACTATGAGTTGGAGCTGACTCAATGGCACCTAACAACAAGAACAACATCATCTCCCATCTTTGTATCTCACCTACTACAAGTGATCATCTCACAGTGACAGCAAAGCAACCTTCAGGCAATCAATGAATAGGAAGGGCTCTGCAGCAGAGCGGAAATTAAACTAGGAAGGCAATTTATTAGCTAATCAGGCCCATCATCTCCGTCATGGAGAAGACTCTACTTCTTAGGATGCCTCTTCCTCTTTCAAGGTCCAGCTCCATGGCTAGCTCCTATGCAAAGCCTTTAAGGGCAGAATTAAAGCCTTGCCAAACCATGTTGCCATGGCACAGGGCATGGATCGTAATGATACACCCCTTGAGAACAGGGACAGGTCTCGTCTCATCATTGTCAACAACTCCCGAAAGTTTCTCAGAAAATGTTTACTCAGTTGAAATGAAGATCAATCAACCTTCTCAGATGCTCACTTCTGAGCAGCAGCTAGACTGAACCAAGATCCCCTTAATAACCTCCCTATGTCTAATTTTCCCTTGAAGAGGGCTGCTGCCCTTCTGGGGCAGCCTGGCATACATACCTCTGCCTCCAGATAGGCGACTTTCTCCTTGAGCTCCTGAATGGCCAAGTCCTTCGACTGGATCACTGCTTTTGAATTCTGGAGCTACAAAGATGTGGGAGACATGGGTGCTCATTTTTAAATGACTGATCACACATTCATCGAACTTCACCCCAACTGCTAGTGGAGCCAGCAGAGATGAAATGCAGGTCTTTGTATCTCTCCCATGATTTGCTTAGCTCTTCTGGAAAAGCCTCATTTCAACCAATATTAAACTCTTGATTACTCCTGGGACAGGAAGGGGAAGTGAAAGGTATACCACCCTGATAACCCAAAGTAATGGGTGATTCAAATACTATTCTATTTGGCTTTGGAATTATTTACAAATTATTTACTCATTCAAGAAATATTTTCTGGAGTGCTTACTATATGACAGGCTCTGGTCTAGATAACTGGAAACAGCAGTGAATCAAAATCAATAAAAACGTCAGCCCTCACAGAGCTGATGTGTATCAAATATGTCCCCCTAGGTAAAAGTGGTTAATTCATTCAGCTGCTAAGCATTAGTGATTCAAATCCACTCAGAGGCACCTCGGAAGAAAGACATGGGAATCTGACAACCCTATAGAAACAGTTCTACTCTGACATACACGGGGTGGCCATGAGTTGGAGTAGACTCAACAGCAACTGTTTTTTGTGGGTTTTTTTTTAAGCTCTTGAAACAATTCTGTAAATTGGCATATCCTGAGTATATACCTAACACTCAGGTGGCAGAAGACAGAAAATTTGCCATGACACCCAAAGGTTGCTAATCTGTCTGCAAATAATTGAGTTTACTGTGAATCAGTTTCTCATTTACCAGTACTCTTCATAGAATGTGTGAGAGACTAATCTCTTCCCTCTTTTCCCACTGGAAAGCAGAAGCCAATGGCCAAAAGGCAGGAGAAAGATAGGAGAAAAGCAAATTCCAATAATCCAAACTCTAATAATTGTCAGCTAGAAATGTTTTACGGGAGACACGTAAGTATAAAGCCAAGCTCCCTAAGACAATAAAAAAGTAGAAGTTTAGATCTGATAGGAGAGGAGAGCCAGACTCAATGTGGTGAACTCTACAGGAAGTAGCCCAAGGCAGGGTAAGATCTGACCTCTTTACCTGCTCTATCATTTGCCGGACTTTACGCTGCTGGCTCTTGAGCATGTCATCCAAGTGGTGGATCTTCTCCCGCAACCCAGCCACCTCCTTTTCCAGGTTAGCAGCCCTGGGGATAAAGACCAGAAGGTTGAGGAAGGGGAAAGATGCCTTGTCTACCCAGTCACAGGAAGAGCCTTGAGTGCGGGAGGTTTCTATCACGTGTGATGCCCTCTACCTGATCCCCAATGGTCTGCTCTGAAGAATAGCTGGTGGACACCTTAGAACATCCCATTAGAAGCATCACCAGAGGTCACCTAGTACAAATGAGGAAATCGAGGTGCAGAAAAGTTAGAAAGGATAAGTCATTCTGGATAGCTCCAGAGGGCAAAACTAGAGCCAGTGGGTAGATGTTCCAGGGACGCAGTTTTTACATTAACACAGGGAAGACTGTTTTCAGGATTAAAGCGGTCAGAAGGTAGGCTGTCTCATGTGTAAGGAGCTCTCCATTACCAGAAAGATTCAACTAGGAGCTGGGATTATTATACCCAGCACCATCAAGCTGTTGGCAGGGATTTTATACCAGGAAGGAGACAGGATTTGAGGATCCTTAAAGCCTCTTCACACAACTTTGTTTCTAAGCCTCCCGAGTCCCAGATCACTGCTATTTCTCTTGCATCTTCTAAGCCAACTGGGCCATGATCCTCAAAGGATCTTTCTGGGGAGTGTCCAGGAGCTTCTAAAGAACTGCTTGTTCTGATGACCCTCCAGTTCCATCTATGGAAGCTGACAAGTACATGCTGCTAGAAGGTAGGCACTGCTGGCGTGGGCGTGGGGGTGGGGGTGGGGTAGGGGAAGTGTTACAAGGCAATCTGAGCAACCAAACATCCTTCTTAAACTTCAAATATTCTATGTTTCTACCCTCAGCTCGTCAATACCCCTATTTCTCGATCTTTTATTTAGAAAACCGGCATTTGGAATGTATATTCCTAAACCTCAGGTTCAGATGATCTGGTCCTTTTTGTTTCTCCTGCTCCTCCCCCCTCTTGCTCATAAGCAGCTCCACTACAGCTGAGGAGGGAATGCTGAGCAATTTAAAGTAATTCTGATAGGAAGTTGAGTCAGGAAAGAGGCTATAATAAGATGTCTGCATTTTCATGCCTTTTCCAGGTTTTATAATCTGGTATTCAGTTTCTACCAGAATTGTTTCAAATGACAGCACATTCAGCTCCCATCTTGGGGCAGGCCTAGATATAGTTTATCCCAAAGATGAGACAGTGTTCCCAGCAGACCAAGGGGACCCAGCACCCAGCACAGTGCTCAGGCCTTAGTAGGCCTTTCCTGTAATACCTACTGAACTATAAAAGATACAACTCATACAATGAAGATCAGACTCAATATGTTGATGTTAAACTAAATTTGATTTACCACTTGAGATCTTATTTAATTGCCAACAGCATCAAGAATCCCCCAATTCCTGAAAGTCCAGAACAGTCCAATCTTTGTTCTGTGGGTTTCACTGGTCGGGGGCCTCTGATCCCTTTTGATTGTAGAGAATGTACACAACTCTCTAACCTGAGAGTCGGAAAGGATCTCAGAGTTTTCTCTCATGCCGTTGCTGATAGGTGGTGCTCAGTTTCTACTAGAATTGCTTCAAATGACAGCAAGTTCAGTCTCCTGTCTTGAAGCTGCTCATTTTATTTTTCATCAGCAGAACTCATAGGAAGTTATTCAATTTTAAATAGTTTACAGCTGCATTTTGTTTTGGGTGGAGAGGAAACTGGTGAAATAAATCAAGTGCAATAATCTTGGAATAATGTGCTGCTACAACACAGGCTTTCCCAGCTCTCGCTTGACCCCAGCTTCTTTCTTTAGAAATAACCTAAAGAAAGAAACCATAAAGGCTTTTTCTTTAGGTTATTACTCCATGGAAAATGAACTCCCTGGAGATGGCAGCCTCCCAAACAATATCTCCCTGGGCGGGGCCCCACCCTGAGCAAGCACGTTATGAGTCAGGGGTGGAAGGTCTGACATCAGCATCAGCCTCTTCCCCAGACCTGGCCACCATGGGAGCTGCAGCCCGCATGGGCCACCACCCTCCCCAACCTGCACTCCAGCTTCACAGTGAACAGGGCTCTTACCTTTCCTGTTCTGCTCGGCAGTCAACACTCTGGCTGCGGAGTTCCCCCAGCGCTGTCTCCCCTTCACTGACCTTGGCCAGTAAGGCCTGATGCTCCTGGGTGGACCAAAGGAAGGAAAATCTGGATGAGAGAATGCAACAATATCTGTCTTTGGGTGAGATGGGCATCAGGGCTGAGACTCAGCCTCTACTGGCCTGGGACAGCTGCCAAAGAGCAGCAGGCCAAGCTGGTTCGATGGGGCACCCTCCCCTATCAGGGATAACCCTTCCCACCCTCAGCACATAGAAACTTCCCAGCCTCGCCCAGCTGCCCGGAGGGAGAGCCTAGCCTCCCATTATTCAGGCCCACCTGCCAGCTATGGCTGCCAACCCTTGAGAAGCCAGACTGAACAGCTTCTTAAGAAGTCTTTACACTCAAAAGGGGTAGCTATATAAGAACCCAACTAAAATGGAAATGGGTTAAACTCTAGTTAAGGAGAACTGAGGTTAGAAAGACCCTCCCATTCCTTAAAGGCTAAAATGTATTCAGAGGTATACGCCAAAGGAAGCTCTGAAGTGTCCTTTTCGGCAGCTGTTGGAAAAGGAGAGGCTCAGCAATTGTCTCAGTCAATCCTCAGGGGTCCCCCCTCCTGCCCAGAAGCCTAAGCACTGAAAACCAAAACTCCAACAATTACCGTCTCCATTCCTAACAAGCGTCTCTGCAGCTCTCCAATTTCCGCCTCTTTCTGCTGTACTCTGTCCTCTTCTCTCTGAAGGGCCACATTGCTCTCTTCTGCTTCTCTCTGGTACCGACTGAGTGTGACCTTGAATACAGGATAAAACCAAAATCAAACCTATTGCATCGAGTCACTTCTGACTCATGGCAACCCCATGTATTACAGGTAGAAAAATGATTCATTGGGTTTTCTGGGCTGTAATCTTTATAGAAAGAGATCACTAGGCCTTTCTTCTGTGGTACCACTGGGTAGGTTCAAACTGCCAAACTTTTGTTTAGTAGTCTACTACCACTTGTGCCACTCAGGGACCCCTAACACAGGATGGGGATTTATTAAATGGAGGGAGGGAGGAAAGCAAACAGGAACAGGGGGCGGGGCTCTGGAGCAGTGATGGGAGAAAGGAGGCAGCTCAGATGAGCATGGCGCCCGTCCCAGACTCAAGTAGCAATCCCAGACCAATTCCCAGGGTTAAGTGGCACAAAGTTGATCAAGTTCCACTTTAAAGTGACACCTGGAACCCCCAAGTACCATTTTTCAGATTGCTGAACTCTTCAACATCCTCACAAATGCCACCTCAGTTTAACCCAATGATGTGGCTTTCATATGAATTTAAAAGGAAATAACCCAGGAGAAGATACTTCCATGTCCTTTCTTCTGTTTCCCCAACTCTTCCTCACCCTCACTTCAAGTAATATTTTTGCCTATGCACAAAGGCCACAACGGCATATGGAAGGCTACTACACACCAAGAAGAATTTGCCATTCACTGAAGATGAGAAACCAATTAAGAAAGGATAAAAACAGAATTGCAGAATTAGAAAGGCCTCTCCCTTGCTTCTTTTCTTCCCTCCTTTGTCTTGCCAACACCTATATATCATCGTCAGGTCTCAGCTCAGACCATCTTTCTTCTGGAGAGCCTGCAGAGCCTGGGGGAGGTGCCATTCCTTTGCGTTCCCCCAGAGAACACAGGCTCCTTCCACTCATAGCACGTATCAAATTTTGCCTGATTACTTGTATACATGCCCGAAGAGACTGTCAGCTTCATAATGGCAAAGACCTTGAGTCTCAGTACATTTCCAAAGTTCACCACAGTGCCTGTTGTTGTTGTTATGTGCCGTGGAGGTGGACCCGACTCATAGCGACCCCTCCTTGGGTTTCTGAGGCAGTATCACTATGGAAGTAGATTGCCTAACCTTCCTTCCGAGGAGTGGCTGGTGGGTTTGAACCACCAGCCTTCTGGTAAGCAGTCAAGTGCCTTAGGCACTACGCTACCAGAGCTCCCCAGCACAGTGCCTAGCACATAGTAACTGCTCTATGAAATTGTGAATGGACTTGATCTTCACCTAGTCCCATGCCTTCCTTTCATAAGGAAAGGTCAACTCACCTATCCAAGGTTCACAGCTAGTCAATAAAGGAGCGAGTGCTAGAATCCAGTTACTTCACCATCCATTTCAATTCTCCTCAATCACCCCAAACTGCCTCCTCATTCACTTTCTAAAACACAATCCATGTAACCGCTGGAAAGCCCAGCCAGCCCTGGAAAAACAGAATAGCAACAGCCAGTTTGCCCAGTTCCTCCCAAAGTCAGAATCAGGGAGGAGAAAGCAAAGCACAGGATGATGTGTAATGGGATGTGTCTGTGCTGCACACTAGCCCTGTCCAGAGCAAACTCTCTGCAAATCCTCCCTGACAGTGGTAGCCAGTAGAACGGGAAATCCAAGCTTAATGGCAGATTTTTTCACAATAATTGACAATCCTGACCTTCTTATTCCCTGTTTCAGAAAAATAACACATTGCCATAGAAGCAATTCCAATTCAGAGACTCTACAGGATAGAGCAGAACTGCCCCATGGGGTTTCCAAGGCAGTATCTTTACAGAAGTAGACTGCTACATCTCTCTCCCACAGAGTGGCTGAGGGCTTCAAACCACCAACCTTTTGGTTATTAGGTGAGCGCTTAACCACTGCACCACCAGGGCTCCTTTCAGAGAAGTTAAACCAGAGTCTAATTCATTAGGAGAGACTGTGAAAAGCCCTAGAATGGCCCACACTAACCTGTAACAGATCGGCCCATGGGTAGGAACTTAAAGACAAGGCCTCTCATTTCTGTACACAAACTCTGTGCCTAGGTTGATGTGTTCTCAGCATGGTGTTAATGGGGCTTTGGTGCCATCACGAAGTTAAAAACACAGACTCCCCCCTTCCATATCTGTCCCTGTTGTTCCAGCCAACTCTGCCTCAAAGGAGCCCCTTAATCATAAGAGGGTGTGCCAACCCACCCCAATAGTGACAACAACCCAAGAAGGACCTCCTACTGTAAGCAGAATCTGCGCATCATGGGGTTAAGAGTAGCCCTTCTAAACCCTGGGTGTGTGGCTGTAGCTGTCAGGGGTGCTGCGGCCACAGGCCTTTACTAAAAGCACTTTGGCTCAAACTTTGAACGAAACTCAGGGTTACCAAGCCCTCCCGGTGCATGCGTGGCCAAAGTGAAGTGCTTTTAAAATTCATAACACCTCTCAATACAGAAATTTCTTTCCAAAATTTACAGCCTGGTCAGCACTACACCCTTCCTCCTGTGCTGTTCTAACAAGGTAGGGAACAATTAGCTGGTTGTCAAACTGGTAAATTGACAGCTCAGTGATCCAAATGGTGGAATCTGAAACAGATACAACAAACTCCTTCTATCACACTGCTATTTTGTTCTGAGGCCACAAATTAACCTTAGTATTGCCCTATGTCCAGAACAGTAAAGACAGGAAAATCTGCTTGTTAAACTGATTACTAAGAAAAATATAGAATGTATTTCTAAAGTTCTTTAGATAATATTCTCACATATATTACCTCACTCAATCCATACACTAAACTTATACGGTATATTTCATGAGCCCTTTCTTTTTTTAAGGAAGTAGAAGGAGCCCTGGTGGTACAGTGTTAAATACTTGGGTGTTAACCAAAAGGTCAGTGGTTTGAATCCAGCAGCCTGGTAGATGGGGCAGTCTGGGTGTATAAAGATTATAGCCTTGGAAACCCTATGAATCAGTTCTGTTCTGTCCTGTAGGGTAGTTATGAGTTGGAATCAACTCAATGGCAATAGGTTTTGGTTTTACAAAAGTGGAAACTAATGATCAAGGAGGGAAAACTATTTCTTTAAATAAGACTTGAACTAATTTAGGGGCAGTTTATCATTATTAGCATCCTTTGTTCACATCTTCAATCCTCCCCAAAACTCTCTTAGTCCCATGAAAAAGAAGAGTTCAGGCTGGCTGTCCTTTTTCTGCCAGGGCTTCGAACTGGTTCAGTCTGGTTCAGTCAGGGCTGACAAAGGGACACCAGAACAAACTGGAATGTTTAAAATGTGGGTGGAACCAGAACAGTAATCAGAACAAGAAAAATTACAAGTAGAAGCTAGAAATTTAATCTCCCTCTTAGAAAATAAGGGCAGTATGTGCATGGCATAGCAACCAAATCTCTTGACCAGCTGAATCAAGAACAGCAGTAAGCAACTCAGAGATGGCACCCAACTGCGCCACTTGGAGTGTGTGTTGCTCTCCACAGTCCTGGTTGTAATCCAATGTCACGTCAGGCTCCTAAAGGGCTCACTATGCCTCTTTCAAGTGTCTTATTCCAGGGCTTCAACCCATAATTTTTCCCATTCTGGTTAGCATTCTGGATCACCCAAATTTAAAAAATTCGAGTCTGTTCCGGTTTCGCTTCATTGGCCATGACTGAACTGGTTCGAAGCCCTATTTTCCACCAGCTTCTGACATGCCTGAGCAGGAGATAATCCTATTATTACATATTTACATCTTAAAAAATACTTTTCATGTGGATGAACAATAGAAGATGGTTCATCTCACACAAAGTGGTTAGAAAAAAATACACTCAGTGTTTGCCCAGTGAACCTCACTTCATACTCATAAGATTTTCTGGAGACTATGGAAGACCTCACACATTTTTAATAGCAGGGGGCTTTCACTATAGACATCTGCATTTTTTTAATCATCTCTAATAATCTAGTATTACTTTTATAACAGTAATTGAAACACTTGTTCAAAATTACAAAGTGCTACACAGGAAAGCTGAGACTAGAGCTTAAAAACCCTCTGACTCCATGGGCATGGTTCTTTCTAGTGCATTACGGATTCATCCCTTCATCCAGCCCACATCATGAAGCACACACTTTATACACTAGGGAGTCAGTGGCAAACATGACAGCAATAGTCTTTGCCAACATGGTGTTTTAGAGACCAGTGATTCTTATCGTGGTATTTGCAAAATAACTTCTGAACTACCTGCTGTCCCAGACCAGCACCGAAGCTCAACTTCATTAGAGCAGAGAAACAAGAGCTGACCTGTGAACTATGGACCAACCTTGGATAGCAACCCTTATAAATGTCTAGGAGAAGGAAAACAGACAGGAGGTGCCCCAGACTCAACTCCTTGCCTTTCTACTTGATGGCACCCAGCCAGAAAGCCATGAAGCCCATGCAGAGAAAGTCACTGGGAACTGCACTCAGCAGTCTATCCCTTAGAGCACTTTCTGTCCAAATCCCAAATCTCACCTCAAAAGCCACCCGGTCTGACTGATACTGTCGCTCAGCCTCCTGAAGCTTGGCAAGCAGGTCCTGCACCGTCTTCTTCAAGCTCTCAGCATCTTCATTCACACAGGAGTCCACCTACAATCAGAGCAGGCAAGGGAAAGTGATGTCATTATGCTTGTGACTTACTAAGACAAGGTTCCCTCTCCACCCTTCCACTGGTTTAGATCATCTTGACCAGACTACCCTTACAAAAGAATCCACACACACAATGGCAGAGTTGGTCTTAGGTACCAAAGAGCTCTGAATTATTCATATAAAGACATTCTCCCTTCATACTCTAAAGAATTCAACTAGCCTCAAATAACCCAATTATATTAGGACACTCAGCAATTTTGTATACATGTTATCAACTGAACTATGTGTATGTCCTGTTTCCCTCCTTCAGACTAGAGCTCTCTGAGAGCAGGGACCAAGTTCCCTTTTAGATGAGGGTTCCCCAAGGGCAGGGACTATGCCACACCCACCACAAAGGGAGCACCCCAAAGGCATGTCTTTCATTGTTCTTTGCATTTAATACAGAGATCAGCATTTAAAGTGTTACTGATGGATGGGCAGGTTTAGGGCAAACACACAGAACTAGTCCAGGAATCTGATTTGCTGTAGGAAAAGTTGTCTCATCGTGGGTTACTGCTCAGTCTTTCTCCTAGACACACCCAATCGCGGGTTAGTGGCTAAGGCTGAGTTGGCATGTAAGCTCTCGCCCCCATTTCTGTTGTATAGGCACCAACTGCTTCATTTATGAACTCCCTGCAAGGCTGCCAGAAAAAGTTCTCCCTGTCTTGCTACGCCTTCAAGCCAGAACACAGGACTCTCATTTAGGAGGAGGGAGACAGGGTCTCAGTAGCTGCATTATTCCTGAGTCCAGTGTGCCTTCATTTTTCCTCTGTGAAGCAGTGAGGACTCTTTACCACGCCCTGCCTTACAGGCTGCCTCAAAACAAAGTTAGATAATATCCAGTAGGGCTTTGAGCTTATGAGGAAAATGGGGCTGAACAGACAATACGAGGTGTTATAATCTGATGCCAACAGCATTACTTGTCAGATATGATTCAGTTGAAGGGACGAATCCAAATTGCACATCTAAAGCAAGTGGCTTAGAATCAACATTGTAAACCTAACTGTCAATAGTTATCTGCTTGATTTCTCTAATATACACACCTAAACCAATCCAAACCAAACTCAGTGCTGTCAAGTCGGATCTGACTCCTAGCAACCCCTCCTTGGGTTTCTGAGGCAGTATTACTACGGAAGTAGATTGCCCAACCTTCCTTCTGAGGAGTGGCTGGTGGGTTTGAACCACCAGCCTGGTTAGCAGTCAAATGCCTTAGGCATTATGCCACCAGAGCTCCCACCTAAGCTAATGGGCTGGTGAAAAATGCTTCAAAAAGCTCCAGGAATAGGACTATTATGCATTTCTTTCAAATAGTGTTTTCCAAGATTACTTAATGACATGGGAAATTTTCATGATATATTATGAAGCTAAAAAGCTGTAAAACTTTGCATATACCACTTAGAAAAAATAAACTAGATTTTAATACATCAACATGCATGTAGTAAAGCATGACGTTGAGTAAAAAAGCAAAAAAAAAAGATAACGCACAAGTCCCTCATGTAAATTGAAAACAGTAATATTCACACTGTTGTTATTGTTGTTAGGTGCCATGGAGTTCATTCCAACTGATAATGCCACTATTATGTGACAGAACCTCACAGGGTTTTCTAGGCTGTAAATCTAGGAGCAGACTGCCAAATCTTTCTCCTGCGGAGCCACTGCTGGGTTCGAACCACTAACCTTTTAGTTAGCAGCCAAGTACTTACCACTGCACCACCAGGGCTTCTTACTTATTTTATAGACATATTGTACTGAATACATTAAAGGGAAGAGGGTAAAAGGAGTGAGGACTAGGAAAAAACAGCAAAATAACAGTAGAACCAGTGAGAGACCCTGATGGGACCAATGACAATAATGTGCCAAGAACTGGTGGGTATATCTGATTCAATCTGCTCTTGAGGGCCCCCAAAAATAAAACAATCCAGAAAAAGTCCCAACCAATCAAAGAATACAAAGCAGCACTATATGTGGTTATTGTGGTTGTTAGGTGATGTCAGAACGACTCATAGCAACCCCATGTACAACAGAAAGAAACCCTGCCCAGTTGGTGCCATCCTCACAATCATTGCTATACTTGACCCTTATTGCGGCCACTGTGTCAATCCATCTCATTAAGGTTCTTCCTCTTTTCTGCTGACCCTCTACTTTACCAAACATGATGTCCTTCTCTAGCAATTGGTCCCTCCTGATAACATGCCCAAAGCATGTAAGAGGAATTCTCACCATTCTTGCTTCTAAAAGAGTATTCTGGGTGTACTTCTTTCAAGACAGATTTATTTGTTCTTCTGGCAGTCTATGGTGTATTCAATATTCTGTGTCAACACCATAATTAAATGCATCATTTCTTCTTTGGTCTTCCTTAGTCACTGTACAGCTTTCGCATGCATATGAGGCAACTGAAAAATACCATGGCTTGTGTGTAGTTCAGTTTGTGTGTCAACTTGGCTGGGCCTGGTTGAGTGGTTGGGCAGCTGTATGTAGTATTCCCCATGATGAGACCGATAATCAGCTCCATGGTGGAATCTAATGTGAGCAGCTGAGTAGCTGCCTTTGGGATGTGATCTGCTTCCTGTATATAAGGAGAAGCCTTGGGGATAGTCTCTAGCATATGACACCCTTGGACCCTGCATGTAGCCGTGTTGTTGTTCAGCAGCCTGCCATGCTCTGCCGACCTTGGGACTTACAATGGACTTAAATTAATGGCCTGCCGTGAGGTTTGGTAACATTGGAACTGTGCCTTTTTACTTGTCAACCTCGGGCTTCTCAGCCTCAGCAGCCAGCAGCTGTCTGAGTGAAGAAACGCCTCTAGCTCCAGTGAGGCGGGAGCAGGACACAGAACTGGACCCCAAGGTTGAAGGGCTTTCACCCAGCCCCTAGAGCCTGGCACTTTGAACTTGGACTTAAAGCCTCCAAACTGTAAGCAAATAAACTCCTGTTTGTTAAGGCCGTCCCATTTGTGGTATATTCTTGTCAGAGCGGCACTAGGTAACCAGAACAGCTTGGGTCAGGTGCAGCTTAGTCCTCAGAGCAACATCTTTGCATTTTAACACTTTAAAGAGGTCTTTTGCAGGTTTGCCCAATGCAATGTGTCATTTAATTTCTGTTGCTTCCATGGCATTGATTGTGGATCCAAGTAAAATGAAATCCTGAACAACTTCAATCTTTTCTCTATTTATCATGATGCTGCTTATTAGTCCATTTGTGAGAATTTTTTTTCCTTTATGTTGAGATGTAACCCATATGGTATGATGTCAATATTGTAAAAATATATTTGTATTAAAACAAAAACAAAGGAAAGTTCACCAAACTGATTTTCTCTGGGTAGATTACAACTGGTATTTCTTCTTTCACTTTTCTGTGTTTCTGAATTTCCCACAATAAGTATGTCTTGTATTATCTTTATAACCACAAAAACATAAATACAAATGTTCTTTAAAACTACAGCTATAGGAGGGCGGGGCAAGATGGCGGACTAGGCAGAAGGATTGCACAGACCCTCTTCAACAAAGAAAAGGGAAACCAATTAACACAGACACAGAAGATA